CCCCCCCGCCCCCAAATATGGAAATAGGGGAAAGCTTCATCCTGACGGAGCATTGCCCACTCCAACTCCACTCACACCCAGCCCCCACCACCTCTGCTCCTATAGGGCCTGCATGTTTTATATCTATATGAGAGGCAAACTGGCATAAACCCCAAATTCTAGCAAAATGAGCTTTCTGGTTGCGCTTTGCTTGCTATTGTTATCGTTGCTGTTATATTTCTCTACCAGCCAACGGCTGAAGCTCAGCAAGGGAGTCAAAGGCACTCTGCACATGCTCAACTGTTGTGCTTCTGATGTCCCACTACTGACATCTGGGTGGGGGCAGGAGACGGATTCAAACGGAGCCACGCAGCGCCCGCTGGAGGGTGCTGCGTTCAGCGGGCTCCCAGCCGGCGTCAGCGCTCCATTCCACGCATGTTTCTCTCTGGACACGGGGCGGGCGCCCCTCCTGTGCTCTGCGGATGTGAGAGGAGGGGCAAGCCTGGCCCAGGTGGATTCGCTCACTCAGCCAGGCCCAGCGTCTCAGAGGGCGCCTCGCCTTCTCTCGCTGCCTGCAAATCAGCCCCCCGCACGCACTGGGAAACTTCTCCCGCGCAGGTCCCCCTGGAAAGACCCAGGCACTGGCTTGGAGGAGATCCCCAGGCGGTGCCTCGTGCAGCGGGGCTGTGCAGCCCGGAGCAGTAGCCCGGTGAATCCGGGCTCTGGCAGCTGCCTGTCATCTGCTCGGCCTCCCGTAAGGGCACCCCCTCCATCCGCTTTCCCCCCCTTGCCCACAGCCCGCTGTCTCCGGGCAGGGTCACCCGCAGGCTGGGCGGACGGACGGGGTCGCCTCCCTCCACAAGGGCTCCCTGTGCCTCGGAACGGTTCCGCTGCTTGCCAGTCGCACTGCAGTGATGGCAGAAGATGCACCTGCTAAACTTCTCCCTGCCACGCAGTACGGCTCTTAAAGGGGCAGGAGCCATCCTATCCCGGGGGCCGCACGATCCAACGGAGCCGGCTGCGCGTCGCGGCTTATCTGTTCTCCGATGCCTTCAGTGGCCGTGATGGGAGCGGAGCGCAGAACGGCGCCCGCGGGAAGGGTCGGGGGTGTCAGAATGTGCGGGAGCGGAGGTGTTGAGGGGACGAGCGGATTCTCACTTGCACGCCTGGCTTAGTCGCGGCCCCCAGCTACAAGTTCCCTTTGCAGTAACACTAATGATTGCTGAGTGGTTGTGGCACTCGTACCCTGGGGCGCCTGCTCCTCTCTGGCTGGCGTTGAAGCAACCTCTGCAGGAGGGCGGGAGTGACGGGGAAGGGGCGCAGTGTCGAAGGATGATGTGTTTTGAGCCAGCAGCTAGAGGCAGCCGCCGAAACGGGGGGAAATGAGATGGTCCCTGGGGAGGAGGTAAGATTGGAGGGCAGGAGCTGGACTTAAAATGCTTGTGTTAGGGGCAGCGGAGCTCCGCGACCTGGAATAGATTTCTGGCTGGCCAAGCGATCTGCCATAGGAGCTGCTCCACCGGAGCTGGAGCCCTGGGACTTTCCCGGGCGTCCCAGGCCTCTGGAGTCCCTCTGCCCCACCACTCTGCGGCCCGTGGGCACTTGCTGCAGTGAAGCTCCAGGTCCTGATAGTCTCCTGGATCAGCCGCTGTTTTGCCCACCTGTGTTTCACCTGCTGCTGCCCCTACTTGAATCTTTCTGCCTGAGGGGTTTTTCCCTGCAATCAAATGCCCCCCTCCATCACCTGTCCATTCAGCCCTCTTTACAAGTAGGGGTGTCCTTAAGAGGCGGCATTCCCTAAAGATGCACATGCAGAGAGAGAGGGAGGGCGGGACTCCATAGCATATGCAAATTAGCATATTAAAACTGGGCTGTTTGTTTGTTTATTTATTTATTTTGTCCCGTGGGCTTGTGCCCTAGATCTTTCTGGTACTTAGCACCACCCCATCTGTGTGGCCAACCAGTGTAAAGATAAGCCAATAGTGTAAAGATAAGGGCTCGATGAAGGGTTCTATGTATTTCAGAAGACTGCACATCTTTGCCTACAGAACCTGGTTCAATCAGCCCCCAAACCCACAACACGCTCCTCTCCTACGTGGTTATTTCCTAGAATAAATGCAGCATTTGGTGTATTTGCAGGAGACTGAAGAAAGAACTGGCAAAGTAGGTTGTTCTCTAAGGCAGCTCACACAGCACAGCATGAGTTAATGTCTAAATACACCACATACGTACCATTAGATGGACAGCAGTCAACAATTGCAGAGCTGGGACCCATCTGTGACACAGATCTGCACATGAAATCCACTTTAAGATGACAGGTCCTTTCTCTCTCTTTCTTCATCACTCTCTCCTTTACAAAAAACAGGGAACTGTCCTTCAGACACCCCACAAAATGATGGTGCCCTCATTGGTAAAAGGAAAGCTGGTAGAACCTACCCTTGACCTCATTTGGGGTCACAATCCACCATTTGAAAAGTGAAGGTGTACATTGGGGTTTTTCAGGCCTTCTGCCTTCAGGGTGCATATCAGCTTATTTATTATTATTTATTAATTAATTAAAAGCTTTTCTAACCGGTCCACTACTAGCATCTCAGGCTGGCTTACCATGAGCACCTGGCCTTACTAACTCCTTTGTCTGGCAAAGGACTGGGGGGGTGTCCATGACATGAAGTCCATGTGCAGGAGGTCCTGGCTCCCAATTTGATTAATGGCAGCAGCATCTCCAAGGCGTCGTGATCCCCAGCAGTGCAATCCCATGCACGCTTCTGCAGATGGCAAGTGCCACTGATTTTGATGGGACAAACTTCGAAGTGAACGTGTATAGGATCCAGTGCCAGTTCAGCTGCTGCCACTGAAATTTTTGGGGAGTGGGCAGTAAGAGAGAGATTTTGAATTTCTGGGCACTCAGTTCTGGAACCAGAAGTTGGCTGATGATGCACTCAGAATTCCCCCCCAGTTCCTTAATTCCCTGGATATGTCTGTGCCCTGAGCCATCATGTTTGCACCTGCTTCTAGCAGATGCCTGGATTCTAGTAAAAGCAAGGGCAGCTCCCCAAATTAGCAGTTCACCCCTATTCAAAGGTATAGTCTCCATTTACATTAGATCCGGGGGCAGCCAGGACTTCGCTGTTGCTGCAAGTGTGAGCTAAAGCAGCTGCCCCTCTCCCAAGCGGGTGTCCTCCTGGCATGTCGGGCTACAGCGTTTACAGTGCCCAGCTAATGTAGCCACGTTCGTTGGGAAATGTGAGCATCATTGCCTTGGCACACTCGGATGCAGCCAGGTTGAGGGATGGCTGATTTAGGACATCCTTCCAGGCACTTCTCTTTCAGAGAAGCTTGTCCCTGCATTAAGGAGTCCCCGATAAGCCATTGTGGAACCCTGGGGCTTCTTGGACTATATTTCAGAAAGCACAATTCTGTTTCAAGCTATTTTAGTAACATAAAATAAGACACCTCTCTCTTTATCAAAGCATTCAAACTGCACACAATTCCTCACCAAGCCAAAGGTACTTAGAGCCTGCAAAGGGTATTGTGTGCCCCTGATCCATCCTCATTTTCTTGTTTCGTCTAAGTACCTGATATGAAAAAGCTGTAATGAACCTTTCTATTGTCAAATGTTCACAGCTTCCACCCATCCAGGCTGAATCTAACCCCACCACCACACATCGCTTCACAGTTGTTTTTGGAATCCTGGCCAAAAAAGGGAAAGAGACAGAGGAAAAGTATATTCAGCTGGTTCCAAGAGTGATAGAAAAAGGATGATTTTCCTCCTTCATCTTTTTTTTTTAAATAAAAGTATAATTTAAAAAATGCAGCCATCTCATTGAGAAGCTGTGTGACTGAAATTTGGCAGGAGCAAAAGCTGGCCTGGGGGATGTGCCGTCTGTTGTCTCTGTGGAAATCCACTCAAATTTGCAGTGATCTCAAGTTGGCAAAGTTGCAAAGAGTGCATTTATCTGAATGCTAATGCTGTGCCTGGCCTGTATTAAGTTATGCTAATGAATGCCCCCTTTGCCTATCGCTGACACGGCGGCGGGGGGGGGGGGAGAGGAGGAGGATGCTTGGTCGGCAACCCCCAGGGGTGGTGCTGCAAAAGGAGCCAGACCGGGACACTTGGTCAGGCTGCGAACCATTCCAAGGGACGCACTGAGCAACCGTGCAAGAGCTTTGCAGTAACTCAAGGTGATCCTTGGAGGATATTATAGGAAACTCATGTTGTGAAGTGTTTCTTCTTCCCACATGA